GAATTCAGTTACTTCCAACATAAAAAGCAGAGCAGCGCAAATAAACTTCCGCTGCTGGGTTCCTTCAGAAGGGTCATTTGTAAATCCTGATGTCAGGACGGCTGCGGGAACAGGACGCGGCACATTCCCTTCAAAACCATGAGCAAACTGAGACATAAAAATATATAATTTTGGGTATATTTCTTATGTTAATAATAATTCATATTTTGTGGGGTGCATTTTTTTAATAACTAGCATTCAAATGATTTCCTTAAAGGGACAGTTCACACAAAAATGAACATTTTCTCATCATTTACTCACACTCAAGTGGTTATTTTATGAATCGCTAATAACACTTGTTCTAGATAACAACTGCCACATAATAATTAGCTTATTACCTTTCTATTATTAACTGTTTATTTTATAACTTAACATGCGAGTTGCAGAATTAACTGTGACATAGCCGCTGTAAACTCTGAAGAAATTAACAAAGTTAAAGGTGTTGCTAGGGCTGCACGATTCTGGCTAAAATGAGTATCACGATTCCAGAGATGTAAAAGAAAGATTAATATGAGTATAGGCTATTATTATTGGTAAACATATTGTAAAACAAAAATAATATAATAATATAGGCCTCATACTTCCTGTGCGGCTCACAAACAATCGCTCTGTGCAACAAACTTTTTTTTTACGTATTTTACAACTTTATTACCTGTTATTAACAGCCTATGCAGGTTTTGTTTACTAGACATGGCGGGCAAGCATGCGCATTCTCTTTGAGGTAAACAAACAGCTCACGGCCAGCTCATCATTACATTTAGACAGAAATGTAATTTTTGGATGAATTATATCTTATAAATACAGTATGCGACTCGTTTAACCCCATTTAAAGGTGTCCGTGTTGCCCGCCATTATGCTTTTTACTTGACTGTGAAAATATGATTGGCTGAATCATAGAAAAGCAGAATTAAGATCGTGTGTAGGGTCGAATCGAGATCGCAATCTTTTTTCGATTAATTTTGCAGCCCTAGGTTCATTCATTCATTCTCTTTTCGGCTATGTGTGTGTGTGTGTGTGTGTGTGTGTGTGAGTGTGTGTCTGTGTGTGTATGATATTAGGAGCTCATCTTTTCATTCACATTTGCTGCATACTGCTGTTCTTGGTTTCAGATATTATGCTCCAGTATATACTGTGTATATAACATATCAAAATGAGAATTCAATTTATTATGTTAATAAACAAAACTTTTTTGAACATGAAATCTCGATTGAGGTCTTGACTGAATGAGGCCTATGGCATTAAATAAAAAGGCTAAACAAAATAAGTGTTACTTAGGACAGTTAATACTACAAAAAAGGAAAGGTTTGGAATCAGTTGCCTTGATTATATTATCACACTTATTTAGCATTTACATATATAATGATCATATCACCACAAAATTCCGTCGTTATATTAAACACCATCAGCTCTGATGTGTTCGCTTCAGGAACATTAAACATACATCTTTAAAGAATAAGCAAAGCCCTGACTATAGAGTCATGTGGAAAACCAGCCTGTCGCTCATCATGTCAGAAAAATGTATTTCATGTAGATGTGAGGTCGCCGGGGACTCAAGAATCCGGCTTTTTACATCGGAAAACGCAGCCTAATTTGGAAAGTTTGCAGAAAAAAAGCATAGCTTGGATTCCGAGCAGACTTGATGCACGGCTCTCAGCACTCTTGGGGACGAACCCAGAGCGACCAAAGATGGCATGCCATGGATGCCGATGCCCTGCAGTAACGCGACAGCTCCGCCAAATATGCCTTCAACAATCTTCAGTTCGTGTGTAAGAGAGAAAAGTTCACCGAGTCAAAGACGCTTAAAATAGAGCTCCAGAATAAACCAGCGCTCGGGACAGATACACTCGCTTTACACTGCATGCGGGTTTAAAGGGATAGTTCACACAAACATTGATTGCTGACCCTTTACTTGTTTCAAACATTTTTGAGTTTTGAACACAGAAGAAGATATTTTGAAGAATGTTGGAAACCTGTTTGTTTTCACTATGGAACTCAATGGTTATAAGCTTGCTTCAAAATATCTCAATATTATAGAATGGCTGAAAACAGAAACTCATAAAGGCTTGGAACCAATTGAGGGAAGGTAAATAGTGAGTATATTTTTATTTTTGGGTGACTTACCTCTTTAAAGAAGACCTTCAAAACTGACAATGTTAAGAAACATTATCATTATTTCAGGGGTAAGCAATCTGTCTTTTATTCACTATTTTACCATTTTTTTGCATAAATCAGTTAAATTAACCTCAGTCCTGATCAAATCTAGTATTTTGTTTTATCCAGGACTGACTCTTTAAATTACCAAACTCACGATGCTACTGATTTGGGGAAAAACCCACACACAAAATTACCCGTTTTCAATATAAAATGTTATTGTGCACTGGATATATTTTGACCTTTTATGACAGTATTAGCTATGTAAAATGGATTTACAATCAATAAATGTGATTATAATGAAAGTCAATGGGGTAAAAACAGCCCCCAACATAACGAAAGGGGAGTCAATTTTCCCAGAGTGCTTTGTTGCATAGTCAAAGCATTTTCCCAAAATATGTGTCATCTTTCTGAATGAAATGCCTACTTTACTACATCCAATCAGCTCACAGTGAAAAAAAGCCACGCCCACTGTTCAGTTCATGTGGACTTTAAAGTTGTCGTATGTAGGATTGACAGCTAGTGGTTAAACTAGATTCTGCAGTCCAGATTTAAAACACTGGATAGGGTTTTTTTTTTAACACCCAGACCCTCCAATGATGACTGTAAGCAAACAGAGGCTGCCAGATGGACGATACAAACCAACCCAAGCTCATTCTGGAAACGTAGCCCCGCGGATGTTTCTGGAGACCGCGATTTACGTGGCCGGAGGTACGTACGGACGCGTTTAGTTTTTTTCGAGCGAACGCTGCGGGGCGGTGTGGCGCTGCCTTGCTCCTCTTCGCGCTCGCCTCCGAGTGGAGGGCTTTCCCAATGCAACCAGTTTGTCCGCTTAGCTCACAGCGTTGCGTCGGCGGAGCGGAGGCCCCCGGAGGAGGAGCCGGCCGCGGGGACGACGACCGGGATCGAGTCTGGGGAACAGCGGTTCCAGAAACAGAAATCAGGTAAGACGAAAAACAGAATCCGAAAAATAAGGGCGAGAACGTGGCGGGATCCGAAAACGCGGTCGAAATCGATGACGAGGGCTTTTGCTTTTTTTTGCTTTTTCTGGGCGGCTTTTGCAAACCGTCGCTTGGGTTTAGGGAAGGAGGAGGAGGAGGAGGAGGAGGAAGAGGAGGGCGGGCGGGGCGGCCGGGTCGGCCGATCCGGCGGCTTTTCGCGCGAGAACGGCGCGCGCTCCCGAGAAGCGCCCGAGCTGCAAAAAAGCGCACACAGCGGCCTCTTGCGGATCCGCAAAAACAAAAAACGCTCGAATACGTACCTCCCGGGACGTATCTCGCGGTCCGCAGAAACGTCCGCGGGGCTACGTTTCCACAATGAGCCTGGGTTGATACAAACAGGGCAGAGTGTGTCTGAAGATCGAGCCATACACTGTAAGCTGCTCAGCTAATGTTTATATTTGTAATATTTGTTAATTAAACAAACTACATAATGTGGATTTTTGCAAACGCAGGGAGAACATGCAAACTCCACACAGAAACGCCAACTGACCCAGCTGAGGCTCGGATCAGCGACCTTCTTGCTGTGAGGCGACAGCACTATCTACTGCGCCACTGCGTCACCGTAGCCCTAGGTGTTGTATGTCAATCTTTGACATTTAAGCATAAAAATACCATGATATGTTTGCAGATGTTTAAGAACTGCTACATGAACATATCTGCTCGTCTGAAAAACAAAGCTAAATTCAGTTATTATCCTTTGAAAATGTGTGCCCCATGTCGAAAAGTCTGTCTTTGTTTTGGTCTCTATAACCAGCCCACTGCCAATTCACCCAAATATTCCAGCACTCCTGGAGCCTTGGTGGAAAACACAGTGTATTCCATGTCAGTCATGAAGACTGCATCAATGTATGAGGCTGCAGCTGAAAATGCCAACTCTGGAGGACAGAGAGAGAGAGAGAGAGTGTGTGTGTGTGCTGTAGCCGGCAATTATCAATTGGATATACACACATTCCAGTCAGATATTTCACTCGCTTCCCTGTCAAATGATTTTAAAAAATCCATTTAAAATTGTGAACAGCAATACACATCCATAGCGAACCATGACAAGAGAATCAAAGGCTTTCATTAAAAAAACTAATATATAAATATTGAGAGTTCATTTTAATCTCGCAGCCCACCTGCAGGGTCGCTGAGGCCCACTGGTTGAGAATCCCTGGACTACATATTCTTCAAGACACTAGTATTCAACTTAAAGTGACATGTAAAGGCTTCACTAGGGTAATTAGGGTAAAGTTAGGGTAATTAGGCAAGTTATTGTATAACAGTGGTTTGTTCTGGAGACTATCCAAACTAATATTGCTGAAGGGGTGAATAATATTGACCTTAAAATGGGTTTAAAACTATTAAAAACTGCTTTTATTCTAGCCCAAATAAAACAAATAAGACTTACTCCAGAAGAACAAATATTAGAGGAAATACTGTGAAAATTTCGTGAATCTGTTCAACATCATTTTGGAAATACTTTAAAGAGAAAAAAACGTTCACAGGAGGGCGAATAATTCTGACTTCACCTGTATGTCACTCTTTTAGAACTGGAGTGCAGCTTTGGAAACAGAGCTCATCAGGACAACTTCTTCAAGAATGTCTGAAGCTTTCAGGTAAATGTGAAAATTCTCTTTTTCTTCATGCGTCAGTAATTGATGTTTGTAAAGGAATGACTGGAGTCGAGCACAGCTCATGTGTGTGAGACTGACCTCTGCAGCAGTGCTGATTGATGAAGAGGATCTCCTCTGCCGAGAGTCTTCAGCGCTCATCATCTCAGCCGACTGACGTGCTCTTCTGCCTGACCGAGCCACCTGAACAACAATAATAATACTTCATTATCATCAGCATCACCATCGTCAGCAATATTCAAGCTGTTGCTAGAAGTGACGCAGTAGCGAACCGAAGTTAACGAGAATATATTTAATTTATTAAATTAGCCATTATTGTATTTCATTAGCGTCTTCAAAACTGTGAAATTCTTCATTCTATTGCATTGTATTCATTTTATTTACATCTTCAACATATATTTTCATGTTGGCCTCACAGCAATAAGGTGGTTGATTGGTTTGAGTCCTGGCTGGGTCAGTTGGCATTTCTATGTGGAGTTTGCATGTTCTCCCCGTGTTGGCGTGGGTTTCCTCCAGGTGCTCCGGTTTCCCCCACAGTCCAAACACATGCGCTATAGGGGAACTGATCAACTAAATCGGCCGTAATGTATGAGTGTGTGTAAATGAGTGTGTATGGGTACTGGTTTGCAGCTGGAAGGGCATCCGCTGCGTAAAACATATGCTGGAATAGTTGTCGGTTCATTCTGCGTTGGTGACCCTTGATAATTAAGGGACAAGGTCGAAGCAAAATGAATGAATAAATGATGCTACTAATTTGGGGGGGAAAAAACACAACACATGACACTCCTGATATTCTGAAGATGCAAAACAAGGATAGTGTTTTATACTGGGATGTTTTAAATCCATGAATAAGTTATGTAGAAGTTGAATGTGTAATCAGTTAAAGCAGGGGTCACCAAACTTGTTCCTGGAGGGCCGGTGTCCTGCAGATTTTAGCTCAAACCCTAATCAAACACACCTGAACAAGCTAATCAAGGTCTTACTAGGTGTACTTGAAACATCCAGGCAGGTGTGTTGAGGCAAGTTGGAGCTAAACCCTGCAGTGACACCGGCCCTCCAGGACCGAGATTGGTGACCCCTGAGTTAAAGTGTGCAATCATTACAGCAGTTTTTAAAAGACTTTTTAGATGTTTTTTATTGTATGCTTGTCAAGTTAGACATACTGTAGATAGACACAAAATACACAATAACACTGTTTGTAAAATTTTTATTTTAACATGTACACTGTAAGGTAAGATTTGCTTATTTTGTCATTATTGTATTATTTTCCTCAGAATTGCATTGTGGGACCTTCATCTTTCTTCCAACAACATTCAGATGGTCGGCTCAGAATGTGTCCTCAACAACATAAAAGCATGGATCCATCCTGCCTTGTATCAGCGGTTCAGGCTGGTGGTGGTGGTGTAATGGTGTCGGGAGATTTTCTTTGGGTCCATTAGTACCAATTGAGCATCAGCGCCACAGCCTACCTGAGTATTGCTGCTGACCATGTCCATCCCTTTATGAGCACAGTGTCTCCATCTTCTGATGGCTACTTCCAGCAGGATAACGCAGCATGTCATAAAGCTCAATCATCTCAGACTGGTGAACATGACGATGAGTTCACTGTACTCAAATGGCCTCCACAGTCAGCAGATCTCAATCCAATAGAGCAGCTTTGGGATGTGGTGGAACGGGAGATTGGCATCATGGATGTGCAGCCGACAAATCTGCAGCAACTATGTGATGCTAATATGTCAATATGGAGCAAAATCTCTGATGAATATTTCCAGTAGCTTGTTGAATCTCTCCACGAAGTATTAAGGCAGTTCTGAGGGCAAAAGTGGTCCAACCAGGTAATAGTATAGTGTACCTAATAAAGTGGCCGGTAAGTGTAAATGAAACTATATTGTTCTCAAAGACGATATATGATGTTTTCGAACATTATTTTGCATCGACACTATTTTACAGCTATATATAAAAACATCGGATTACATTGTAAATACATGCTCGGCGTAAAGAAGTCATGTGGTCCTCCTTTACTGTTACTATGGTAACATGACGCGCCACCTCTGTTTACATTCGACGCAAAGAGAGTACGGTACATTTAATTAAACGTTTAAACGCACACAAACAGCAGCAGATCAGCTTATTTCTGTTCACTACAGCTGACTAAGCAGTACGAGCTGTTCTTGAGTTAGTGCTTCATTATGTTTAGCCCACAGAGCACTGGTGAACTCCAGTTTGAAACGCGGCGTGAAAGAAATATTCACAAATGTGCGCTTTCCGAGCTCTGCTCCACGTCTGATAAGCAAGTATGTCTGCTTATGATGGGCAGACTACTATAAAACAGCTTAATATCCATTCAACTCACATTTTTAGTGAATCCGCCGTCTGCCAGCTGAAGATTGTCGTCCATTTCTAACCGCGTCGCGGAAGTGACGTCGCGTCACCAACGACGTCATCATGGGTAACCTTGATGTCAAAATAATTCTCAAAAAGAATATTATACATAAAATATATCCAACAAACCAGTTTCTTTGTGTTTCTCATTCTTTGTATGCTATAGTTCTTGTTATGCAAAAAAATGATTTTAAAAATTAAATATTTCTCAAATAACTCATCTCTAATATCTGATTTATTTTCTCTTTGTCATGATGACAGCACATAATATTAAGCTAGATACTCTTCAAGATACAAGCATTCAACTTAAAGTGACATGTAAAGGCTTCACTAGGGTAGTTAGGGTAAAGTTAGGGTAATTAGGCAAGTCATTGTATAGCAGTGGTTTGTTCTGGAGACAATCCAACACTAATATTGCTGAAGGGGCGAATAATATTGACCTTAAAATGGGTTTAAAACAATTAAAAACTGCTTTTATTCTAGCCCAAATAAAACAAATCAGACTTTCTCCAGAAGAACAAATATTAGAGGAAACACTGTGAAAAATTCCTGAATATGTTCAACCTCATTTGGGAAAAATTTGAAAAAGAAAATACAATTTACAGGAGGGTGAATATTCTGACTTCAACTGTATATATATATATATACATGTGTAAGAGAGAGTGAGTTAGTGTGTGTGTGTGTGTGTGTGTGTTTGTATATGTGTAATTATGTGTGTGTGTGTGTGATTGTCTCCGTGGGATAGTAACGCTCACTAAGAGCTCATGACATCCACAGATGGTCTATAGTTTATTAGAGTTTTTAAGGGATAGTTGGTTGAATGCCAGAGTTCTGGGCTCTTACAGTATATTGTTTAGGACACACTGCCTGTATGTTGATTTAAGCTACTTGGACCTCGCCATATATAGAAATGTTGATTTCTTTTCCACCGCAACTCGACATCGCTTCCTTCATACAGACTGAAGTTTGTCACAGACAGGGAAATCTGAATGAACTTCGGCAGATCAGAATAGAGTACAGTATTGTAAATTCAATGCTTTTTGTTTAGTTGCTCTGAAATAGTATTAGAATGAACTGAAGTGATCTCTTTGAAGTTTAAAATTAAGAGATATTTAAATCAGAAGATATCACTTAAAAGTAATGCAAAAATATATCAGTTTAAATTAACAAAAAAAACTTTGCGAGTGCTTTATTAGCAGTTTAACATAATTAATTCATACATCCATCCACCCATCCGTCCATCCATCCACCTATCCATCCATCCATCCACCTATCCATCCATCCATCCATCCGTCCGTCCATCCATCCATCCATCCGTCCGTCCGTCCATCCATCCATCCATCCATCCATCCGTCCATCCATCCGTCCGTCCATCCATCCATCCATCCATCCGTCCGTCCATCCATCCATCCATCCGTCCATCCATCCATCCGTCCATCCATCCGTCCGTCCATCCATCCATCCGTCCGTCCGTCCGTCCATCCATCCATCCATCCATCCGTCCATCCATCCGTCCGTCCGTCCATCCATCCATCCATCCATCCGTCCGTCCATCCATCCATCCATCCGTCCATCCATCCATCCGTCCATCCATCCATCCATCCGTCCGTCCATCCATCCATCCATCCATCCGTCCGTCCGTCCATCCATCCATCCATCCATCCATCCGTCCATCCATCCGTCCGTCCGTCCATCCATCCATCCATCCATCCGTCCGTCCATCCATCCATCCATCCGTCCATCCATCCATCCGTCCATCCATCCGTCCGTCCATCCATCCATCCGTCCGTCCGTCCGTCCATCCATCCGTCCGTCCATCCATCCATCCGTCCATCCATCCATCCATCCGTCCATCCATCCATCCATCCATCCATCCATCCGTCCATCCATCCATCCATCCATACATAATACTTTTTACTGTGGTTCAGAAACATTATTTACTATAAATTACTGTAGTATTTTTTCATGTAGCTGTCTACCGGTCATTTATTTGTTTGTTTTTTTAATTTATTTTATTAACTTATTTTTTAATTTTGTAGTTTTTCAAGTATTATTGAGAGATGTAATGAATAAAAATAAACTTCTTTAATAAGCAAATCTTTGCAAGTGCTTTAAAAGCCTAAGAATACATGCCATTTATAAATTTTATTAAATAATTTAATTTACTTTATTAATCTATATTTTTCAATTTTTTTTACTTTTTTCAGTATTTTTGAGAGGTCTAACAAATAATAATGAACTTTTTTAATGAAACTTTGTAATTGCTTCAAAAGCATACATGTCATTTAATAATTTAATTTAATAATTTAATTTAACTCAATTTAATTTATTTTATTGCATTATTTTTAGTATTTTTGAGAGGTTTAATAAATAATAAAAAGTAAATTAAATAACAAAACTTTGCAAGTGCTTCAAAAGCCTAATACACATAATTTATTTATTATTTCTTAATTAATATAATATGCACATTTCAAATAATCAGCCCAAAAAGATTTTCACCTACATTTCGAGTGCCTTGGACTGATTATTATTTTTTATATATTTAAGAATCCCTTATTCAAGAGCACAGACACATTAATTACCCCTGAAGCTCCTTTTGTTTGTGTTAATTATTTTATTATTATCATTTCTTATATAATCGTGTAACGCTTTTAGATTCAAAAGGTGCAATAAATAAAAAATAAAAAAATCTTCTTTAACTATTACTTAAATGAAGTGTCAAGAAACTAATATAAAATATATTTATTATTTATTTTCTCCATATTTAAAACTCTTTTGGGGAAGGATTATAAATGAGTGGCATTGCAGCATGAAACATTAATTGCTTGTTTAATTTAATAAGTTATTTTATTTTGTATATTTATGCTGTCTTGAAATAAATAAATATGTAGATTTAATACATTTGAACTGTTTAGGATGTTTTTGTTTGTGTGTGTGTGTATGTATATATATATATATATATATATATATATATATATATATATATATATATATATATATATATATAGGATTTAATATTTGTTTTAATGTGGTTACTGTGAAATTTGACCTTTCAAAGAATTTCTAAACTTTATAATACATTTTTAAAAATTGTAAATGACATAGTAAAACATTGTAAAGTGTAAACCATTAAAGCTAAATTATAAATGAAAGCATATTGTATTAAAAATGATCAGATACAGTACATTAAAAATGCTGAGATATTTTTTTAACTTAATGCTGGGTCAAATATGGACAAACCCAACAGCTGAATTGAAAAAGAATTCATTTGTATTTAATCTAAAATATCAACCCAATGTTCAGTTTGTTCATGTCTGACTCATTTTGGTTTAAAACAACTCAGGAATGTTTAAAGTGCATGATTAGATTAAATTACTTATGCAGTTTTGATTATAAATGCCCTTATAACACAGTTGAACATTTAATTTACATTAAGATGCACAATAAAGAGAGAAACTACAGTAAGTACAGACAATAAACAAATGAAGATAGATCTAGAGAAAGACATGATGATGGATAAGAAACAAACACAAAGGTAAGGAGTCAATGCATGAAATAAAATAGAGATTTGCTAAATAAACAAAGCGGTGTATATTAAATACACGGTCTTGTTAAGTGAACCTCATATTGTAAATGAATATGTCTAATTTCTTTAATATAGTGCATACCTCAGGTTTACCTCAGACTAAACGTCCAGCAGGAGGCGTGCGAACTTTATATACAACCCCAGCAGTTTGTCAGCGAGTGCCTGAAACAGAAACAGCTTCGGCGTTTAGATAACTATAACCTCTCTGTCATTTCTAAAATATTCCATTTGTTTCCATTAGTTCGTGTTATGTAACGAGCAGCAACATTTCAATGCGTTTGCTATCATATAAAGCGACTGCTGCATGAATGGGGAAAGCGGCGAGCGTGGCTCCGCCCACTGCCTACGTCGTGCAGAACCCCGCGTATAAAAGCGCAGCGGGAGCGAAATAAGCCTGGCAGTCCACAGAGTGCGCGCGAGGGAGGGCGAAAGTTTCTGACAGGACAAAAAGAGGGGGACAATGCGGTCGGACAACACTCTGCTGAATGTATGTGATCTTCAAAAGAGTCAGTGATGGATGTGTAAAGGATGTTATGGGATTACAGTGCAGTGTTTACATGGAATAAGCTCGCAGTATGGAATCTGTTGGAGAAAGCAGGCTCAGCACTTGAGGACAACCTGGGAGCCGCTTCATTCATCTGAACTGGAAAACTGTGTGTTTACTTGAGGTGTCTATATAGTGTGCAGATATTAACCATGCATTTGGGCAAAGGACTGCTGTTTGTTCTGCTTTTAAACAGTGTGACCATGAGCTTGTCTCTGTCCACCTGCACCACAGTGGACATTGATAACATTAAGAAGAAGAGGGTGGAGGCCATCCGGGGTCAGATCCTCAGCAAACTCCGTCTGACCAGCCCGCCGCAGACCCTGGGCCCTAGTCAGGTGCCCTACCAAGTGCTGGCCCTCTACAACAGCACCAGGGATCTGCTGGATGGATTCGGCAAGGACAGACACCAGAGCTGCGGGCAGGACAACACTGAGACTGAGTACTACGCTAAAGAGATACACAAGTTCAACATGATCCAGGGATCTCCTGAAAACAGTAAGTTTCCCTTAGGGATGATGTATTCGTAGCCATGGGTGGATTTACCCAATTTTTGGGGGGCCCCAATAAATATTAAGATTCTATAAGTTATACAGTTGAATTATTCGCCCTCCTGTATATTTTTCCTCCTAATTTCTGTTTAACAGAGAGATTTATCAACACATTTCTAAACATAATAGTTTTAATAACTCATCTCTAATAGCTGATTTCTTTATCTTTTCCATGATGACAGCTCATAATATTAGACTAGATACTCTTCAGGACACTAGTATTCAGCTTAAAGTGACCATTAAAGGCTTCACTAGGGTAAAGTTAGGGTAATTAGGGAAATCATTGTATAACAGTGGTTTATTCCATAGACGATTAATAAAAAAATAGCTTAAGAGCACTAATAATGTTGACCTTAAAATAGTTTTATAATATTAATAACTACTTGTAATTTAGCCAAAATAAAACAAAGACTTTTCTCCAGAAGAAAAAAAAATATTATAGGAACTACTGTAAAAAAATCCTGAATCTGTTCAACATCATTTGAGAAATGTTCGAAAAATAAAAAAAAATATTCACACTAATTATTTTGACTGTATATAACATGGTTTTGTGTATTAATTTGTATGGTGAAGGTCTAACAAATCAAATTTGATGGTAATTATTACCTCTGTGCGAATGTGTCGCCCCCCTGCCATCCCCAATCATGGAGCAGTCCAATCTGATCTAGTTTTTAAAAACAAAATAATTTTTTTTTTTTTTTAGTTGTGATTTCTCTTTAAGAAAGCAGATTATTTAAAATGAAGGGATTTGAATTAAGAAAAAATATATAGAAAAAAGATTAAAATAAATTAATAAACAAACAAAAAGATCTAAAAAGAACATAAATAAATAAACAAACAAACAAACAAATATATATATATATATATATATATATATATATATATATATATATATATATATATATATATATATATATATATATATATATATAATAGGTGCATATTAAGACCATGGCTGGGATTGCTTGGGGCCCCCCAAATCACTAAATCTGCCCCTGTTAGTAAGAACACTTCTAAAATAGGTCATTAATAAAATATTGCTCATCAGGAGTCCATAGAAACTCAATAAGAAGAGGTGATCTACTTGCTGAGGGCAGTATTTAGAGTTAGGGATGACTCGAAAGCTGTGAAACCAAGGTATCAATGCTAAATCCATAGGTGATGAATAAACAGCTTCAAAAGTGAAGTGAAGTGAAAACTTTTAGTAGTATTAATAATAATAATGGTGGCATGGTGGCTCAGTGGTTAGCACTGTGGTTTCACAGCAAGAAGGTTGCTGGTTTGATTCTAGGCTGGATCAGTTGGCGTTTCTGTGTGGAGTTTGCATGTTCTCCCTGTGATGGCGTGGGTTTCCTCAGGGTGCTCCGGTTTCCCCAAACACATGCGCTATAGAGGAATTGATGAACTAAACTGGTCGTTGTGTGTGTGAATGAATGTGTATGGATGTTTCCCTGTACTGGGTTGCAGCTGGAAGAGCATCCACTGCTTAAAACATATGCTTAAATAGTTGGCGGTTCATTCCGCTGTGGCGACCTCTGAAATAGAGACTAAGCCGAAGGAAAATGAATGAATGTTTATTAATGCTAATAACCTGATAATAAGTGTTCTGACAATGACTGCACATCAGAATACACGCTGATGGGATTGAATTGTTCTCGTGGTTTGTCAGCTCCATTCGTTCACCGAAGGGTCAGCGCATTAAGAACTCCACCGATTTTTCCATGTGTCTCTGGGTCCCGTCCAAGCCGAGACGGGCCCCAGATTATTTGAGGACACAGTCAGTTGTGTGAATGTCTTCCTAGTTTAGCAGCAGACAGCTTGATTGAGTGTGAGAGTCGGTCCTGGAGAAGCAGACCTGCGTTTCTTCCAGAGGGATTTTGATGGACCTGCTGTACTCTTTTTCCCAAGCTGTGTGCTACACTGAAAATAACAAAAGATTCAGTTACTCTTTTTTTTTTAAGGTTAGTGATTGCAAACAGTTTATATAGGCTAAATTTAAACAAACAAATTAAATGTTCAACTTCATTTGTTTGTTAAAACTGAACACATATCAGTTGTTTGCAACCACCTACCTTTAAATAAATATCGGTGACATATGAAATACTGTTTCCGGGTCCAAGCTGTACTCATTTGAATTGCGAAAATATTTATGAACGAATTTTTAATCTTATTAAAGTGAATTTCATATAAAGTCATGGTGTACACATCAGTGTCTGGACTTGCTGGATCACAGACACCAATATTTTAACAGTTTATAAAAGATTAATCAATTTCTGACTATATAATTATGGGCATATATTTATACAACAGTTCTGTCTGGTTCTCGAATCTGATTGGCTGATAGCCGTGATATATTTAAGTAATATCAGCACCCGTAAAGCCTCTTTACCCTTTGTGTATTACTCCGCCCACATACAGCCAGCAAAAGCAGACTCTACAGATCTACAGTTTAAAGATGCTTGCTCAGCAGTTTAACTGTCAGCTTATGATTTAAATCTGGAAGAAAGTAGTTCCTCATACTAAAGGGATTTTGAGACTCTCCATTTTTGATTTTGTTTTTATTTATACAATTATGCCGTCAAACTGTTGTATAAACGCAATGTCACACGAGTAGCAGTGCGATATGGCTGTATAACGGCACTGGTGGGGGCACTAAGGCATCTTACGCCTACCACCAGTGCCGATATACAGCCATATCGCACTGCTACTCGTGTGATATTGCTCATTTATATTGCGATTGTGATTTTCAAAAGTATTACATCACTTTGTAAATGTTTATTTAGCGGTCTACCCCCACCCCAACCATAAACCCAACCATCACAGTAACGTAAAAACGATAGTTGTACAGAGTATTGTTTAAGTTATCTATTAAATTACCCTGTAAATTGTCCCCACCCCATCCCTTAACCCAACCATCACAGTACTGTGAAAACATGAATTATTGTTGTACAGTGTCTTAAAAAAGATGCTGCTATATTAATGTGCATATCGCATCTCCGGCCAACCACATATCCGATCTAGACGTTACCGGTGAATGTCCTTCTCTAAAGTACTGCACAGACATCTGAGGGCTCGCATTTCGGTAACCCTCTGGAAAACCTCCAAGTTTATTAATATTTCAACCCGGGCTCATTGTGGAAACGTAGCCCCGTGGACGTTTCTGCGGACCGCGATTTATGTCCCGGGAGGTACGTATTCGAGCGTTTTTTGTTTTCGCGGATCCGCGAGATGCCGCTGTGTGCGCTTTTTCACATCTCGGGCGCCTCTTGGGAGCGCGCGCCGTTCGCGCCCGCGCCGTTCTCGCGCGAAAAGCCGCCTGATCGGCCGACTCGGCCGCCCTCCTCTTCCTCTTCCTCCTCCTCCTCCACCTTCTCTAAACCCGAGCGACGTTTCGCAAAAGCCGTCCAGAAAAAAAAAAGAAAAAAAAAAGCAAAAGCCCTCGTCTTCGATTTCGACCGCGTTTTCGGATCCCGCCGCATACTCGCCTTTATTTTTCGGATTCCGTTTTTCGTCTTACCTGATTTCCGGAAACTGCTGTTCCCCGGACTCGATCCCGGTCATCGTCCACCGCCGCCGGCTCCTCCTCCTCCTCCGGGGCCTCCGCTCCGCCGACGCAACGCTGTGAGCTAAGCGGACACACTGGTTGCATCGGGAAAGCCCTCCACTCGAAGGCGAGTTGTCGGCCGGCGAGCGCGAAGAGGAGGAGCGGAGCGGCGCCACACCGCCCCGCAGCGTTTGCTCGAAAAAAACTAAACGCGCCCTTTACGTACCTCCGGCCACGTAAATCGCGGTCTCCAGAAACATACGCGGGGCTACGTTTCCAGAATGAGCTTGGGTTGTAATATTTCCTCAGTTTGTGTACAGTAAATGCTATTAGAGCTTTGTGTTGTTGATACACTGCAAAAAATCACTCACTCCCAACACAAATCAGTTGAACATGAAACAATTAAGCTGTTGCACAAAAATCTCAAGAACTGTGTTGTTCAAACTCATTTCACACACAGTAAGTAGCTTCATTCATTCATCTTCCTTCAGTTTAGTCCCTTATTTATCAGCGGCAGCCACAGCGAAATGAACCGACAACTATTCCAGCATATGTTTTACACAGCGGATACCCTTCCAGCTGCAGCCCAGTACTGGGAAACACCCATACACACTCATTCTCTCTCACACACACACACACACACACTCATACACTATGGACAATTCAGTCCATCGAAATGAAGTCTTCATCCCGCAGCACAAACAGAGGAATTTTAGCACTCAAGTGGGAAGACGTGCACTAGATTGGCAGCGGGATCTCTTTCCTTTCCATTAAGCAGTTTTCAGTTTCACAGTATGGGAGAATGCGGTGGCTGGAGCAACGTATATTCACGTTCCATTCGCATCAGCTAAGCTAATGGCTTTATCATGCGGCGCGTTTCGGATGCTTGTGGCCAGTGGAATCATTTACACATCGTGCCTTTTTCTCTTGGTGCTGAGTGCACCAACAGGTTATGCTTTCTTATCGACTCTGTGTGTGTGTGTGTGTGTGTGTGTGTGTCCGTGTGTGTGTTTGCATCCAGAAATGACATCATTGGAAAGCATTTTTGCCATTCCAGACCTGTTTGTCCATTAGCTAAGAGCAGAGCGGGATAAAGCCGTGCACCTGCGTTCTTCCAGCCTCTTGAGTTGGCGAGTGATTGCCACTTGAGCTGCCATCGACAGGATGATAAACGTTCCAGAAAACAGAGGAACACCCACTTAGCGGATGGTGATAGTCTCTCCTGCTTAATGGGGACTTATTATGCTTTTATTAAGGGGTTTAAACACGGGCAGCAGTGTGTGAATATATCCAGAGTCTAATGGTAAACATGTATTTTTGTATTTGTTTATAATCAGACTTGATAAGAACAGTCTGCAGAAACACTTTGATTGACATTCTCCCTTTGTACGTGTCATCAGAGG